CCGGCCTGGTAGTGGCTAGGCACTGCTGAGCAAGACAGGTCCAGCCCCTGTCCGTGGGTGGCTGTGACTTTGGGGGCTTGACCTGTTGAGACCAGACAGTCCCTGGGTGCACAGGGGCCCTCCTGGTGTCCGTCCGGACATAAAGGGAACACATCTGTGGTGTCTCCTTGCCATTTCTGGAGGGCACACAAGGTCAGATACAGCCAAGGAGTGAGTCTGAACTGAAAGGGTATTATGTCTGAAGGAATTATCCAAAAGTAGGTGGAAAATAGGAAAGGACAAACAGAATGAGAGTGTGCACATTTTAAAGGGAATTTTGGGAATGGGTAGGCAATGTTTGAAGAGGTAATGACCGAGATTTTCCAGAATTGACTCATCCTCAGAATCTGGAACCCTGAACAAATCCCAGGTCAGATCAATGAAAGTTCCATACTTTGACTCAGGAGTGAAACTGCAAAACATGGGCGGGGCGAGGTGGCTCACGCCTATAATCCTAGCACTCTGGGAGGCCGAGGCGGGTGCATCACTCAAGGTCAGGAGTTCGAAACTAGCCTGAGCAAGAGTGAGACCCCACTTCTACTAAAAATAGAAAGAAATTAATTGGCCAACTTAAAAAAAAAATATATATATATATATAATTAGCCTGGCATGGTGGGAATGCCTGTAGTCCCAGCTACTTGGGAGGCTGAGACAGGAGGATTGCTTGAGCCCAGGAGTCTGAGGTTGCTGTGAGCTAGGCTGATCCCGCAGCTCACTCTAGCCCAGGCAACAGTAAGACTCTGTCTCAAAAAACAGAAACTGCAGAACCTAGAGATGTTGAAGTTTATATATCTTAAATGCTTTAATTATTGGGCTAAACTATTACTCAGAAGTAAGATAAATGTATGTTTAGATTTAGCCATTCAGATCCTCTCACTGAAACAATTTCTAAAGCATATACTTTACAAAGTAAAAGATTAAGCCAAAAGAAAAGATGATGAGAGAAACAGGCCCTCGGTGAATCCTGTAAGCATTGATAAAACCAAATGGAAGCTGGGTGTGGTGGCGCTCACCTGTAGTCCTTGGCCACTTGGGAGGCTGAAGCAGGAGGATGGCTTGAGGCCAGGAACTTGATACTAGCCTGGGCAACATATAAAGACCCTGTTTCTACAAAAGGTTTTAAAAATTAACCCGGGCATGAATGGCTCATGCTGGATCCCAGCTACTCTGGGAGCCTGAGGCAGAGGTGCAACTGAGCTTAAGAGTAAGTGTGATCAAACACCTGCTGTATTCCATCCTGGGTACAGAATGAGGCCTGTCTCTAAAAAAAAAAAACCAGCTGGAATAAGATGACCTGCTTATCAAAACCGAATAAGGCAAATAAATGTAAATAGACGAAGCCAGTTTAAAAGAAACTTCAAGGTTCAGTAGAAGAATGCTAGCTAGAAGCTACATACCTAGGAGACTGTAAAGAGATGGGTAAAGAGGGGGAGAACCTGTGCTGAACGGTGATATAAGAGAAAGAGTCTTATATTTTCCTGGATAGAGCTGGAATCCATTCTACTAAATGAAGTATCTCAAGAATGGAAAAACACCACATATAGTCACCAGCAAATTGGTATTAACGGATCAACACCTAAGTGGACATATAGGAATAACATTTATCGGGTGTCGGGCAGATGGGAGGGGGGAGGGGGTATGGGTATATACAAACATAATGAGTGAAATGTGCAACGTTTGGGGGATGGTCACGCTTGAAGCTCTGACTTGAGGGGGGAGGGCAATATACATAACCTTAACATTTATACCCTGATAATATGCTGAAAAAATTACCATTTTTTTTACTATTGGAGTTGAAAAAAAGTATTATATAGTCATAATTATGAACCAAATAATCAGAAGAAATATACTCACAAGAAAATAAACAGAGTAGCCAGTGGGGTGGTGTGCATCCACAGTCCCAGCTATTGGAGAGGCTTAGGCGAGAGGCTGCTCGAACTGAGTTCAAGGCTGCAGTGCACTAGGACTGCAGCTGTGAGCAGCCACCACCACACTATAGCTGGAGGAACATAATGAGAGTCCACCTATCAAAAATAAATATAAATAGGCCGGGCGCTGTGGCTCACGCCTGTAATCCTAGCTCTTGGGAGGCCGAGGCGGGATGCCACAAAACTATAAGTAATTCAATGGGCTTTTAAAGGGACGTTTATTATACTGCCTGGTATTATATGTGATCCCTATCTAACTTAAAAGTTCATTGATAAACATCTCAATGAAATGAGATTCCATTTTGGTCCCAGTATATGTCTTTGATACTCTTGGATTAAACGAGGAAAGGAAGGTGAAAGTGCCCTAGGTTAAGTCACATTTTGAAAGGCAGGGAGCATGAACCTACCATACTTTGAGCCCTGGGCAGATCAAACGTTTGATCTTACCTTATAGGAAGATCTTAAGAAAGATCTTCCTTCCTGTATGGGGACATAGGGCCCCCCCCCCTTGAATCTTTCAGAGTTTCCAGACACTAAGACTTGAACTCACTTAAAATTGCATCAGATTTTTCCTGAAATATCTAAAAATTCAACTAAGCCTTGTCAGGTTTGCCTTTCTTGCCTGGGGTAGTGCCAAAAATTGGCGCTCATAGCTATATAAAAGAAGATACTTTGAAATAAAAGTTCTGGCTCCTCTTGCAACACCACACAGAGGAATTAGACCCGGCTTTGACCCTTGTCTAGGTGGAAGCATTGAGGGCCTTGAGTTGGGGCTGAGCCTGCTTTCAGTGGCATCATAGTTGAAAGTCATCTTCCTTGGTCAGTTTCCAGTGCTTTTCAGTAAGGCTGAGCAAGTTGTAGAAGGAAGAATGCAGAAAAGAATACAAATTTCAAAGTCTTCTGGCTTTCATGATCTTGAACTTTTTCTTCCTAGGGTTTACACTGTGCTTTGCCTGCCTGATGTTCAAACACCTTGGTACATAACCGTCGAGCAGAGAGTAAAGAAAAATTATCATGCTGTTAGGATATGAGCAGGTAGGTGGGTGATGTGTCACAGGCACTCCTAGTGCTTGCTACATGCTTGGTGCTTTGGTGTATTAAAGCTTGTATTTTGTTCTTAGGAGTCCTCCTGAAGCTTGCCTGTGAAGCTCATTGGGAATAATTGCATGTATAATGAAGCAGTACATTGAATTTGTGGCAGACAGACTTATGCTGGAACTCGGTTTTAGCAAGGTAAAGTATTGTTATACTCTTCTGCTGTCTTCTGAAATTGTTGTTCTGTTTATTTATATCTTGATGTGAACCTTTTCAGGTGTTCAGAGTAGAAAATCCATTTGACGTTTATGGAGATATTTCACTTGGAAGGAAAGACTAACTTCTTTGAGAACGAAGAGGCCCGAATATCAGAGAATGGGAAGTGATTCAAGTCCAACAGAGAATTTTTTTTACCTTGGATGCTGACCTTCTAAATGAACTGGAGATGTGCCTTAATTTTGATGAAATTTTTCTTTGTCATCAAAAAAAAAAATCAGCTGAAGTGTTTAACCAGATACAGTCTGAATTATCCAAAATATCATTAACACCATCTTTAAAACTGTGCTACTACCTCAAAATCCATCCTTAGTAGCAACCTGAAGGAATAATGAGTGTTATAGGATAAAAACATTATCTGTTTTCACCAGGCTACAACTTCACTGTACACATTAAGAGTGGCAACCTTGTCCCTTACATTGTGGAGACCCTAGTGAATGTGGCCCCCAGCAGATTAAAATCTCACTTACGCCACAAGCAGTTGTAGATGCAGCCTCCCTGCTTCCAGAGCATATTTATAAAGTTACGTTACTCAAAGAATAGCATGTTCCGTATGTCAGGTCTAGCCTGATTTATTTGGTTTTTACAACCAAGTACAAAGTAGTCTGTTTACTACTACTAAGCCGGTTTTGAAATTTACCAAGTTACTATTAGAAATAAGTTAAACCTGTGTAGACTAAGCACATCATTTTAACTTTATTTTCTTTAATGAATCAAAATACCTCTTTAATAGAAGTTAAAAGACAATCCTAGGTTGTCTTTAATTTTAGTTGGCAACCTAGATATTAGTCTCTTGGTGCTACATAGAAGACAAAGGTTGTGTTTTGGTTATCCTGTAGCCTGGGTGGACGTGTTGTGGGTAAGAGATAAGGGCCATCGTTTAGGGAAAGGGTCTTCTAACCCAAATCATTTAGGAAATGATGGTCTGGGTTGACCGCTAGGGACCTGGTTTGTTAAAATGTGTATGAGGGTAGAAAATACAATTTTTTTTTTTTTAGAATTGAATTTTCCCCAACTTCCTAATCTGACAAAATCCTTGAAGAGTTTTCTTAGGTAGAGTCTAAGGTAGTATTATAAATTTTTCTGTCATCCTTGAATGGAATGACCCTAAGATCGTTGCTCTTGTTAAGTGATAAAATCGGGATTGAAGTTGGCTCTCTAAGAGTTTTTAATTCTGCTTTGTTTAAATTTGTATGTAGTTATGTACTGTTGAGAGTTAATTCATTTATATTCTACTACTATTGTAAATTATGAAAATATTTTTTAGTATTATACTCCTTTTAGATTTTACCTGTAGTTAATATTTTGAAATAAAAGACCCAGTAAGTGTCTAAGTTGACTAAATTGACTAAATAAATATTGACTAATACTGACTAATAATTGACTAAATATTTTTTTATGCAATTCCAACAGTTGGTCTAACTGAGCATCACCTGGTAGATTTTTAAACCTTCAGTAGAAAACTAAGCCTTGTATGAGTGATTAATCCATTCAAATTAATTTCGGAAGAACAGCATAAGCAAAGATATGAGCTACTTTGATTATCTGCCTTTATGTTTAGAAAAATAAAAGCTGATATCATATGGAAGATGATGCATAATACATGTTCTTTTGCCCCATTTGTTAACTGATTGTTTGTATATCAGCTGTATAGCCATTACTTTACTGTTAGTTTTTCTTCATTTACTGTATACAATAGTCAATTTTGAAGTTTCCTGTAGTAAGACCCTTTTCTATCTTCAATTATTGTTACTGGGCCAGGCTTGGTGGCTCACTTGTAATCCAGCAACTCTGGAGGCTGAGGCAGGAGGATCGTTGAGCTAGAGTTTGAGACGCACCCTGAGCAAGAGCAAGCCTGTCTCTACTTAACTAGTCCAGCTACTCAGGGAGGCTTAAGATAGGGGATTGCTTGAGCCCAGGGCTTGAGTTGCTTGTGAGCTTAGCCTGATGCCATGGCAACTCTAGCTGGGCAACAGAGCAAGACTCTTATGTCTCAAAATAAAATCATTGTTACCCTAAAGTTAGGAAGATCCTTGGCCCGGGCGTGGTGGCCCGCCTGTATCCTTAGCTCTCCTGGGAGGCCGAGGCGGGCGGATTGCTCAGGTCAGGAGTTCGAAACGAGCTGAGCAAGACGAGACCCCGTCCTCTAAAAAAAAAAAGATTAAATAAGTTAGTAAGTCCAGATTATATGATCTTTACACTTGGGCAACACTCAAAATGAATGAATGCTTTTGCTTGCATTGTCAGGTGCAGGTAGAAGTTGATCAGATTTTATCTCATTTACTGAGTAGTGTGTGGACTAAACTTCTGCCAACTCAGATTTTTTTTCCTGATCAGTTTGAAAGGGAATCCAAATTTTTAGCATAAAGCAGTGTGCCAAACACTTTTTGCAGGGACCTTGGTTTACAAAAGACATTTTCCGCAGATGGGGGAGGCAGAGCAGCTGTAAGTAAGATACAGATAAAGCTTCGCTCATCCTCCTGTGCAAGTCCAGTTTTAAGTTCAGGGAGAGCAGTTTTCCTTTTTTCTCACGTTGGGAGTTGGGGTGGGGCCTGGGCGGCTTCCAAGATGGTCATCACGCCAGCGTGTTCCTAATGCCCAGGACGATACCTGGCTGCTGCCAGGCGGGGTGGGCTGCAGGTGTATAGTTTTCAAATTTAATACTGCCAAAGTGGCAAACAGTGCTCTTAGGTCAGTCCCTGATTGAAGTAAAATTTGATTTTAATTCAGAAGAAAAAGTTACAATTTATTCTTTTATTTTTGAACGAGAGTCTCGCTTTATTGCCCAGGGTAGGAGTGAGTGCCCTGGCCGTCAGCCCTAGCTCCAGCATCCTCAAACTCCTGGGCTCAAGCAAGCCTCAGCCTCAGCCTCCCGGTAGCTGGGACTACAGCATGCGCCACTGCGCTTAATTTGAGACCAGAGTCCGTTTGTTGCCCAGGCTATGAGTGAGTGCTGTGGCATCAGCCAGCTACAACAACTCAACCCTGAGCTCAAGGCAATCACTGCTCAGCTCCCAGTAGCTGGGAGTACAGGCATGCGCACCATGGCGGCTAATTTTTTCTATACTATATTGTTGGCCAATGAATTTCTTCTATTTATTAGTAGAGATGGGCCTCTCATCGTTGCTCGCGCTGGTTCAAACTCTGATGAGCCATCCGCCACCTCGGCCTCCCAGAGTGCTAGGATTACAGGCGTGAGCCACTGCGCCTGGCCGAAAAGTTATTTTTGGTAAAGGTCTGTGAGTTGCTTTCATCGTTGTAGGGAGGAGACTTTTCCTCGTGCCTATTCTGGCACGAAGGTATTAGGAACAGGTACACCTGAAGGTGATGTTACTTGCCACGTGTGAAAGCCAGGATCGAGTTGAACTTCCGGCCATGGGCAACCCACTCTGGCCTGTCTTCCCGTTGCAAAACAGATGGGGTCAAGGCCTTCCTGTGGAGTTTGCTTGTGCTCCCTCAGCCCACTGACCTGTGTGAACTTCTGCCTGGTTGAATCGTCCCTCTGTCTATACAATGCCCTTTCAGATCAATCCACCCCCTCAACAAGGCCCGTTAGAGGTCATGAACTGCCATGCCCAGGAACAGCCATTTATCCTGTGTGTCTGCACATGTCACTGCCATTCAGTTCTCGGTCATGTCACACAGCTCATCAGGTGCTGTTCTCGGCATGGAGACATGAGTAGTCGAGCCGCGAGGATCAGTCCACCCCGTGGAGCTTAGGTTTGTCCTAGAGAGGAAACTTAGGTTTAGTCCTAGAGGGGAGTAGATCTGAAGTGCCCGTGTGATGGAGTCAGAATTGTGAGATGGGTGGGGGCAATTGGAGGTCTCAGCGAAGGTGACAGTTTGTCTGCTGGTGGGTTAATTGGGGCTAGCGAGACTCACTGTGGTTCTATGAAGATTACTTTCATGTGAATGTCTTTGTGGGCACAGGTTTTACTAATTGCTGTATGTCTTAGCACAGGGCTCCAAGGATCAAGGCACTCCAAGGGAGGTGAAATGAGGAATACACCAGTTCTGAGCTGCAAGTATTCTGGGAGTGGATGATGTCATTGCAAAGGCCTGTGCTGGTCCCAGAGGAACCTGTAGACGGGCTTTGCCTTTGCACCCAAAGGTGCTCAGTGAATTTCGGCTTTGACGGCAGGTGTGCTGGGGAGTCCAGGCTGCTGTGCTTCAGGAGGATCACCAGCTATTAGAACAGCCTCCCTGTGGGCAGCTGCAGTCCTGTTCTCTCCACCTGTACCAGCTGCCCAAGTTTTGATCTTCCACGTTGCATGAGGGGGACTGCAGCCAGGGTTGGTGTGGTCAGACTACTGGTCTAGTTAGATATTAGATAATAAACTGCTCATACTCATTAGATACAGACTCATAGGCCTCAGCCCAGACCTACCAACCAGAAAGCCTGCAGTTTTAACAAGATTATCCTGGGAGATTCTGGGTGTGATAGACTTGTGATGTAACCAGTGGTTTTTTTTTTTTTTTTTTTTTTCTTTTTTGGCTATCCCTACGCATTGTATAACCAGTGGTTTTTAGCCCTGAGTGCATTATAATCACTTGGGGGCTTTTAAAATGCGCCGGTGCCTGAATACTACTGAAAAGGCAGTCCATTGTTTTTTTGCTAGATGTGTTTTCTTAATTTGTGTGAGCTCTAGACAATGCTTGTGTAAGGGTTATATCTCATCACGTGTGCAGTCGGGGCCCTGCTCAGGTGCAGTGGCCAGGCTGGCAGCCAAGAGCAAGATTATGAAATCCTTTTCCCTCTGCCTGCCAGGCACTGCGTGGTCTCAGACCCAAGCTAAGGACGGGCTCCTTGTGGAGCAGGGGCCAAATGGGAGTGGAATACCCTTGGGCCGGGAGCTGATAACTGTTTGTATGTTTTTTGAGCATCAGTGGCCTGCCAGTGTTGGTCTGGAGGGCTGGTAGTGGCTTAGGACTGCTGAGCCAAGACAGGTCCAGCCCTGTCCGTGGGTGGCTGTGACTTTGGGGCTTGACCTGTTGAGACAGACAGCCCTGGGTCACAGGGGCCCTCCTGGTGTCCGTCCGGACATAAGGGAACACATCTGTGGTGTTCCTTGCCATTTCTGGAGGGCACACAAGGTCAGATACAGCCAAGGAGTGATCTGAACTGAAAGGGTATTATGTCTGAAGGAATTATCCAAAAGTAGGGGAAAATA